TTATGGAATCTTAGGTGTCTTGTTAAACTGTAGATTCTGATTCAGTATATCTGGGGGTGGAACTGCAGATTCTCAGCAGGGGGGCTGAACCAAACTGAAGCCCTGGTTTCACTCCAGCCTACACTTGAACATCTCCAGCAAGGGGAACATTTGCACCAAATATTAAGGAAATCTGTTACAAACAAGAGAACTAACACCCATGCCAGAACTCTGAAACAACAGAACAGATACTCATTTCAGAATTTTGTTGGCTGCCATTTTGGTTTAAAATAGACGAAATCACAACTAGAGGCGTGATCCAGACACCCTTGGGCGGAATTCCAAATTTCAGTGACTCAAAGACTATCAGAGGTAGAAGAGAATTTGGGGTCATCTAAATCGTTCTCATTCTCTCTTTCCTTAAACCCCATTTTAGAAAAGAGAACGGAGACTCAGTGGGGTGAAATAATTAGCCAAGTTAGTAACTTGTGCTGGTTGCTACCCAGGAAACTTCTCAGAATGTCTGGCAGCTGTTCGGGGGGTGGGGGGCGCTTATAAGAACACTGCTCTGGGCGCGTGTTGTCAGGGAGGTGGCAGAGTCCTCAGAACATGCCACTGTGAAGGAGTGAGGACAGCCCAAGATGCAGAGTGCCTTGGGCCCCCTCCTCAAGCCATCCCAGCCTCTAGTGCTCACTCCATATTAGAGAGGTTTGGCATCAAGCAATTACTCAAGATATAATCACCCAGAACATTCTTTGTGCCAGCCATGTGCCAGGGGTGGTAAGAATCTGGAACTCTGACTCAAGTACTCCTACTCTTCATATCTCCAACGTTCAATGGGAAGAATGACTGTTTTCATGACCTGAGAACACTAGACCTCTGGCAAATGAGAGGAACATCTCTACTGTGACATAAGATACCCAGGGTAACAATTAGTGCCTACTCTCATGTACCGTCGTGATCCTTGAGAATGACTGCGGTGTTTCTAACAGAAACAAGATAATTGAGGACACCTTAGTCACAGACATAGATGGTTTACCAGGAGCACGTGATGGTGGGGGTTGGTGTCACCAGGTGCTGCTTCCACCCCCTCTCCTAGCAGTGAGGGGTCACACTGTGTCGGCAGAAGGTGACAGATAGCTCCCACCTGGCCCCATCAGCCACCCTCATACCATATCTCGGTGTCCTCCTCACTTCGTTCCCTTGTACAATCCTTAAGTCTTCAACAGTTTTCACTTTCTTCTCTCTACCAAGCCTGCGTTATGAGGAACAGCACCTTGATACACTTTCTACCTCATCTCTTTTCTCTACTCAGTCCCAGGCCTTTTGTTTTCTAATCATGCCACCAGCCACCACCTCCTGCTCACAGACGTCCCCTGGAAAGCAGAGTGGTGTTCAAGTAGGAAGCAGAGTCTTCTCAGGTGGTTAGAAGCTGGTGGCCTCTGACGGCATGAAGCAATCAAATGGTCTCGCCGAACAGCGAAGCTCTGGAGTGGGAGGGAGAGCTGCTGCTGTGGGTGCTGTGC